GGCGTTCACAAAAACGATCTTCGTGTAATCACGGCCAGTGTTCAAAACAGTGCTTATGAACGTTTCTTACGTATGTATTTGAACTGTTTGTCGATTCTGATTGTACATCTAGCATTTGGACGCTCATGATTGACTGGTTGCGAGTTTTGCTGTTGATGTTGCCGTTGCTGCTGTTGGTGTTGTTGCTGCCGCTGTTGCAGCTGCTGGAGTTGTGTGCTGACCTGCTGCGTGCCGCAGCTCGCCTGCCGTCTATTCAGCACGCAGACGAATCTCAGGCACGCATTTTTTCTCCACTCGCTTGCTGCGGGCGACATTTCAGTTACTTACCCTCAAGGTTAATGCTGTTGAAGTAATGCTGGTTAACGCTAATTGCTCTGAAGATATTGTAGTAATTTAAACCTAACGGTGCAATTGTCGCTGAAAGCTAAGGTAACCAGTTCGCTGTTTGTCTTCAGGTCCACATGGAATTTACTGTCAGGATTGCATGACTGTTGAAGTTTCATTGCTTTGTCGCTTTGGCATGCATGTATGTGTGTGTGGCTTTCACACTAAGGTCAGACTCGTGGTTGAAGTACATAAGGTTGACCCACGAGGATTTCCGCCTTTCAGTTCAGCTTTCTTGTTACGTCACTGAGATCGAGATACGTAAACAATCCCGTCATTCCCATGACGGATTGGTTGACTGGTTTGAATGGTTCGGTGAATGGTTAATGCCCGTGACGTCACTGAGAATCTGAGATCAGTGACGTCACAGGTGAACAACAAACTACATCCACAAAAATGAGCTTCTCATGGGTCACCTTATACTAGTTTAACAATGGGTGAGACTAGTGCGCTGGCTGCGATGTACATTGTATCGAGGCTTTTTTTTCTCTATGATGGACTTCCTTCAATGGGGAACTTTAGATGTTCTACTGATGATTCTTGGTATTTGATGCTAGAAAATCAAGAAAACAGTTCATATGTGAATATGAACAATATGTTCATGTGAACATATGCGAACTTATCATCAATAAATAATATTTTAAGAAATATTATGAATTTAATAAATATTTCAGATTTTGGTTAAATTTTGTGTAACACAGTGTAGTTTGATTAAAATAGATTAAAACTCGAAGCATAAATTTTCGATAGATACCTATTTCATTTATGAACTTAATTGCAAATATCCCTGATAACAGTGAACTGACACTGAACATAGGAATTAATATCATGACTGCGCGCGCTTATCCCGTTCCGATGATGTGACCTCAGCGCCAGAACACGTTAGCGACGTGTGCCTCGGGTTACAGGAATCATTCGAAACATGTTCCCAATATTTAAAAAAGTATATATCCGTTAAGAGTATGCAACTATAGTTTTAATTTGGTACCTTCTATGATAGCTTTAAGAATACTCGTTAATTTTTTGCGTTCAATCATCTTCTTGAATCTGTACTTAAGTGTATCGGTAGAAATAGAAGCAGACGGATTTCCGTTCTGAGCTCCAGTTGTTGCTTGCTGGTGGAGGGAGCAGGTCGCGTGGTGCGTCCGGGTGCTCCCGTGACTGGGCCAAGCGCCCTCAGCCCCAAGCAGCTGACCCTTCACGTCTACAGTGCCAGCTTGACATTTACATGTTTTGGTGTCCGATAGTTTCTGCCTTGCATTGTGCATATCTGCTATAGTATGCAGCTATAGTATGCATAGTGCATGCCTGCCATAGTATGCATAGTGCATGCTTGCCATAGTATGCATAATGCATGCCTGCCATAGTATGCATAGTGCATGCCTGCCCTAGTATGCATAGTGCATTCCTCAAAGGGCACTATGCCATAGCATGCATAGTGCATGCATGCCATAGTATGCATAGTGCATGCCTGCCATAGTATGCATTCATGCATAGTGCATACCTGACCGTTGCTATTGCCATGTCCGTTCTAGCTATTTCCTTTAGTTCTTGCCAGGCCTGCGTGCACTTGCGAGGCATTTGGCCTCATGGAGACGTTCACTCCGATAAATTAGAATGCCTACTGAACGTGTTTTCTGTTACTCGTGGTTGTACACAACTATTGTAATGGGTAACTTAATTGATCGTTTATGCAAGAGTGTCCTTGTTCTATATATTATGGATGGCAGTTATCGGGTGCAATAACTGAAAATGTTTGAGGTCTTAGATAAAAACGTACTGCTTGAAGCCATTCATGTTCAACCGGAACTCAATATGTTCCGGGACAATGAAATTTCTTTGCAGTTATCCATGTTTTCTAGTCATTAGGTCAATTGTTATGGTAATAAAAAAATTAAATGATGTTTCAAGCATCATCCCAACTTGCACGTTGCTTAATTGGCCGGACACATCGCTTGTCTCACTCCCGCAAGCAGCACTTGTCGCGCGCGTGGTGCTGCAGGTCAAGAGCGACCGTGAGACCAGTTCACCCGTCGCCGGCCTCGGCTGGCCGCACACTGTTGAGCTCAACTGCGGCGCGGTGCCGTGGTTTGCTTCCTCCGTCCTTTGACTGTCTCTTGGTACGATATTGCCAGCGTGCGTTCCTTTCTGGCTCCTCTTATCTCCTAGGTTCGTTCGCTAGCTGTGGCCAGTTACTGGCGCCACCAACGTTACCGCTCGAGTCAACGTTGCCCGTCATGTGTGCTGCTCGAACGTTTGCTTGCGCCCCGCGCTGCTCACGGCGCGTCTCGTCTCTAAAGCCGGGAAGATAGAATAGCGCCCGCAGCGTCCCGCGTGTCCTGGGCGTCGGAAAATATCGCCGGTGTTTATGGGTCCTGCTGTTGGTGAGGTTGGTTATCGAAGGTTAATGTCATAAACGGGGCAGAAGTTCGGCAACACTACACTTGGTAGTATGCAAGCTTCATTTCTCGTTAGACGTCTCGTTTCAAGATAACTCTCTTTGTCCATCGAATCGTAGTATTGCAGTTGTAAAACTTTCTTTCGTCAGTCTACTCATTTAGCTGAATGTCAATCAACGTTGCCGGCTAGTGATCAGTTTGGTATACCAACCATACTTCAAGATTAAAACATTGACCTGGTTACATTGATGCATATGCCCTAACTCATATTGCATTCTGCTGCTGTCGTATTCTGCTAGTCAGGCATTCCGCTTTTCAGGCATTCTGCGTTTCAGCCATTCTGCGTTTCAGCTATTCTGCGTTTCAGCCATTTTGCCTTCCCGGCATTCTGCGTTTCAGGCATTCTCTTTCAAGCATCCTCAGTCTCAGTCATTTTCTGTTTTTGGCGTTCGCTGTCTCAGGCTTTCTCTGCCTAATTAGACATCCACTGACTCAGACGTCCATTGTCTCCGTATTCTTAGTTCGTTTCAGTCAGCGGGACATTCTTCGGCTCATTTGTTCTTCGGCCGTTTGTTCATTTGGCCTTCGGCCAGGTATCGGTCATGCGGTGTCCCAGGTGTCCCGTATTAATGACGTCCTATGTCTCGGTCATGCCGTGTCTCTGGAGTCCTGTATCCGAGACGTCCCGTGTTAATGACGTCCTATGTCTCGGTCATGCCGTGTCCCAGGCACTCCGTATTACATCCACTTATCGCATATAGTATTTTTATATATACCGTATGTCTTGGATTTGTTCGCTCGTTTCAAAACTCCTGGATTGTTTTTGTGCTATTAAGTTTCGAGTCATCATCCTAATAATATATCATATTTTTTTCTTCTCTTCAGAAGAGCGTATTAACTGGTAGTTTCTTGAAGTTTGATTTTTAAATTCTTACATGTGCGTCTAGAAGCCTTCTCCTAAATTCAATGGGAGGCGCTCTAAAGTAGAGAAAACTCATCAAGGCGTTTAATTTTAAACGTGAAAAATTAGAGCAGGGAATGTAAAAACTTCTATATCCCTAATTATAAAAATGTAACACCATATTCCAGCTCGTCCTTTTTTTCATCTTGTCTTGCGTATTAAGTAACTAAATAACTGACTAACGTATATTAACGCTATTCCTAACTAATTATGTTAGGATATTATATTCGTTTTCACAGTATAGAATGACAATTTTCCAGTGTACTTAAATGCAGCGTGTAAAAGGCGCGAAATGAGACTTTTCTGTACCACTTCTCGTTGAAATATCACAGCACGTCAATATGTCTGTCGCTAACTTTCCCAGCAGATACGTTGCCGACTATGTATCTTATGGACACTATGCGCAGTGCATGTGTACGTAAAACTTATGTGTAACTCATCATGTGTGCCGTGTGCGCTCAGTGCATGTGTACGTAAAACTTATGTGTAACTCATCATGTGTGCCGTGTGCGCGCAGTGCATGTGTACGTAAAACTTATGTGTAACTCATCATGTGAGCCGTGTGCGCACGGTGCATGTGTACGTAAACTTACGTGTAACTCATCATGTGTGCCGTGTGCGCGCGTTATGAACTGTACAATGTGAGCGCTGCTCTGTAGATGAGATCAATACCTCTTGAAGTGCTGCTCCTGCCGCCGCTGACTGTCGCTTGCATTACCGCAGCTGCTCTTGGCTGCTGCAGCTGCTGCTGCTTTTTCCTCACTCCAGGAAACGCTGCTAGAACACGTCCGTGCTGTATTATGACCATCCGCTTCTTTGACGTGCTACACCTGCAGCTGCTCTAGTGGCGTATTGATATTCTGAACGAGATATCTCTTCTGAATTCCACTAATATAAAGGACCAGTTCTTTGGAATATTAGTGGAGCTTTCACTTCGAAATTGGATTGTTAGAGCCTGGAAGCTGATACGCTTTATGTTTCTTTTGCCATTTTGCGTCTGGAACGGCAAGGTTTTTTTTCTACTAAACCTCGGTAGCTTCAATAGTTTGTGACCTAGAATTTTATGAATCGATGCATATTACATTGAAATAGCAAGCAAATGTATTCATTTTTACACGTTTTGTGTTCGTGTTTTTTTCTGGAACTACGAGCACGCACAGAGGAACATAATGTTCCTGTGATTCTATTCTATTACTTCCAGACTAATTTCTGAACGTTTGTATTCTGAAAGCTTGATGTTATATTTTTGGTTTCAGGTACCTGGACACATACGAGCGTGTGACATTCCTGGGCAGCGATGCTGACGATAAGAACAACGACAACGACGAGGACGACGCGTCCCATCCTGGCGCCCGCAGCCGCAGGAGCGTGCGAGCCCTCAACCTCGTGCCCCTCACCTACAACAACGCCATACACAACGTCGCTGGTCAGTCATGTAGTGCACACGCCATACACAACGTCGCTGGTCAGTCATGTAGTGCACACGCCATACACAACGTCGCTGGTCAGTCATGTAGTGTACACGCCATACACAACGTCGCTGGTCAGTCATGTCGCAGTCTTGCCTTGACGTGCTGAGGTAGATATCGGGATTTAGTCGGTGGTGTATGGGAGCTCTTTGCTAACGCCATGCAAAACCTCGCATGTCAGCCGATATGTCCTAAATTCTATATCAACTCTAAGTATTTAACTTTGAGAAATTGCGAACAAATTATGCAAATAAGTTGTTCATAAGCCTGGCCTACGAATAAAATATTTTGTTTAATACCGCGTTCGTACATTCATAGAATTGAGTTTTCATTCATGTTAAATGATCAAAGAATGTAATATGGTCTATTAATGGTTATATTCTGTGCAGAATCGATGCGTGCGAGCGCGAACATGTGCACGACTTTATTGAAGCCGTCACAGTACGACCGTCTTTTCCTATCACTGTGTTCACCGATGCCCAACGAGCACGACTTCTCGTTCAACTTGTGCACGCTGCTCAGCAATGAAGGCAGACAAGTCATGCGCCTTGCACAGTGTCCCAGGCTGCTCGAGATCATGCTGGGACATGTCGGAGTCTTCAGGGATGGTATGTCTGCTTCAACTACCTATTTATGATCAATAATAGAGATTTAATCTGCTGCTTTCACTATATTATTATGAACAATACCTAATACGAATTTGATATAATAACGGTTTTTGGCTTATGTTCTAGAGTAGGTTCTTCTTGACTTAAGTTTTAAATGAACTCATCATCATTCATGATCATTGTATCCCGTCATTGATTCATGCTTCATCAGTTATATCAGCACACAGTTTTTCGCTTGGTCATCCACTAGACAGCAAGTGTTGAGGTCATTGGTCATCCACAAATCCTCTTCCAAGTGTAATAATGTTATTATCATATTATCATTTGATTTATCTTGTGCGCAGTGTCGACCAGAAAATACTTCGTGAGCAACATCGTCGAGCAGAAAAACAAAAACCTCGTCCAGTTTTGGCTTGACTCAGTGGAGGATTGCCGTGTCTTGGAGCTCCTTCTACCTCCAGGATCTTCTTATGACGAGGAGGATTTTTATCGTAGCTCATCTCCACAAGATAGACAAAGTTGCCCATCAAATTCTGGTGTTGGCAACCGCAGTGAATTACCCGCCCTCGGACCAAATAACACAAATAACAGTGACTCGAGTAGACTACAAGTCGATGATTCTCAGAAATATGGTCCTGTAAATAATAGCTCTTCTATATTAGTCACTAGTGCTGCAAACGATTCCGCTAGAAACGTCAATAGTGTATCTAATAGCTGTAGAGAACTTGTTATAGCTAATTCTTCAGTCAAATGTTATGAAGACAGCTCTGAAGCGTCCGATGTGTCGAAAAGATCTAATGAACCGTTGCTGGAAGACATCTGTCGAAAGCTGAGAAGAGTGAGTACCAAGAATCCTTTGTTGAACTATACAAGGTTGACCCAGGCTTCGAAAATTTTTGACACCGTTATGATCATCTGCACTGTGACGTCACATGTATCGGAACTCATAAACAAACGTCCTAAGTGTCGTCAAACGGATGTTAAAAGTTTTAAACTAATTTTCTTGGAAAACCGACCTTCTCAAATTTGTTACAAATTTGTCCATAAATGCAACTAGTCTTGTTCTTAACCATACAGCGTCAGAAACTAATTCAGTCGGACGGAAAGATAATAATAGATTGAAAATAAAACCTGGGGCTGACCGATCAACTTGGTGCTGCGCTAATGGCTGCCGCTCGTATCATCCGTACGATGATCTGAGAGAAGGAAAGCGTCCCTGAACAAATTACGTTTGCATTGGATTGATATTATTCGTTGTTTTTACCCAATTGATGCATCTCCTCTAAATTTTAAATCGATATAATTTCATTAGCTGCTTCACTGCGTGGCCATTTTACATTGAATATAAACAGGAAAGTAAACGAGCATCAAAGCGAAAAATAAAAATGGCAAAAATCACAATATTATCTTGACGAAAACGCGACATGTTGGAGAGGCTCTTCACTTTTTATCCAGCCGTTTATTTGACGTTTAGACTAATGGCAGCCATTAACAACCATTAGAAGTTAGTCCATTGCAAGTTGCATTAATTAACCGCACGAAATAATTGCATTTTGACACCGGCAATGTGTTTAGCAAGACTATTTAACATTTTGAACATTTTTTCAAAGGATTCGAGAAGGTCAGTTATTTATAAAGTTAGTTCAAAGAGGACACTTCTGGAATGTACGCGCAATATTTAAATTTTGAACTCACTGTGACGTAAAAAATGGAGCAATACACGACATAAGCAAGGCTGAGGATACGCGTGGGTCAACCTGGTATTAGCTCAACTACCTATGACAAACACCTAACCTTTGATTATGTGACAATTGAAGTTGTTTTTTCGAGCAAGAACTCGATTTGTGGATAGTTAAAGATTTGTTACCGTGGATGTACCCTTGCTAAAGTGGATAGGTGTACCCTCAAGCAGACTACAAAATTTAGAGTAGATTGAAGAGTGACATTATTTCAGATATTGACTGCAATTTTATAATCTGATCTTAGATTTCAGAGCCAGACTAAATCCGACACAGTTAATCAACGAGTTTTCATATTTGTTTCAGGAGCTGTGCATGGAAGGGGCACTACGTACTCCTGAAGACATAGATTTGTTTCACTGCGGCAGAGACTCCGGTCTTCAAGACAGCGAGGGCACTCGGATAGCTCAACTCATTCACATTCTCCGCAACCTCTCGTTTGAAGAAGACAATGTCACGACGCTTGCCCAGTCCAAAACGTGCCTAAGGTTAGCAGCTAACATTACAACTCTACAGTTAGTTGTAAAGCAAAATTTTACATTCCAACTCTACTTAACTCGACTGTAATTGCCCACAATTTACTCAGTAAGAATGACTTGCACTTAGAAACGAATCAGTTTGCTATTAACTGGTTATTTAGGCCGGTGTTTACATTTTATTTGTACGAAGGTCAGTGTATTAAAGGCATAAATAAATAATTTCAATAATGCACTTAGAATTCCGAAATTTGTTTTGCCTGGTATAATTGCTTATTTATCCGAAGTTGCTGAAGCTAAGAAAGAAAGTTTTGTTGTCGCGATGTGATCAACTAACTTATTCATTGCTCGTATCATTATGCATTCCCACTGAATTTCGTAATTATTGCATGCCTTCTTTAACTCTTAACCTTAATCGAACGACTTTAATGTCCAATTGCAGATTCCTAGTGCTGTGCATGTGCTCACGTTTTGGTGGCCTCTCCATACAAGCTCTGGATACTCTAGGCAACATCGGGTCAGAAGTTGTGCTCGCTGACCCAAAGACAGACTCCACTACCCGACTGCTGCTATGGCATGTCTGTCAAGGGGTATTTTCAGAAGACAGGGCAAGAGTTCTACGTTCTCTGGAAGTTCTTAACAAACTCGCTGTGTGCGACGCTAACGAAGAAGTCATGGGAGAGAATATCGAACAGGAGGTCAGTGTCATACATTCTGGGGAGAGTCAATCAGTACTTACGGAAGTGGGACTTATGTATTTGTATATTTTTTCTTTCTTATCAGTTTCTTTTCAAAAGAGTCTGTGATTATTTATGAAGCCCTCACCACATATTTGTTGTACCTCTGAAAACTTCAACAATAACCAATCAAATCCTCTCAGCTATTGTTGTGTAAAACGCCCTCGTTTTTTGTGTGTAGGTGTACGAGCAGATCTGCCGGTATCTAACAATACACGACATCATGCTGCTCATCTACACGTTAGAGAGCCTATACTCCCTGTCGTCTCTGGGGAGCGCTTCTTGTAACGCAATAGTGAGGGCGCAGGGCAGCATCCACACGCTGGTAGCGCTGCTCACTGTTGAGGCTCAGAGCTATGGGCCCGAAGCCTGCATTGGCATGAAGGTACCACTCTTCATAACAATCAATTATATTTAGAGTTGATGTTTAATAATATTTTTATATTGTTATTTTTTATATTTAATTTTGATATCTATTATATCAATTTTGATATCAAATCAAATTGATTTTGATATCAATTTTTTATATTTAATGATAACAATCGTTAAAATTAGAGGATGAATGGCTTGCCTGGTGTTGACGGATGCGGATGTGATGGATGTGAGTGTTGGTGTGAAAGCATGCGTGTATAAAACATTAGTTGGCTTTGAACTGTGCTAACCAGGCTAGGTATGCAATTGAAGTTATAGTTGTATTGCATTCATATTAAGAGCTGTTATGGGACTATCTTAGCTGTTACAGAATAGAATAAAAGTGGCGGCACTGAAGAAATAGACCCATGACCTGTTGCTGATTCTTGTACTTTTCGTGACTTGATTCACAAAAGAGATCCGGCATTTGGCACCCGATCTTTTCATAACTGACGATTGATTGAGATAGCTGCTGGATTTATTGCCTGGTCCGTAAGGTGCTAGGCATTTTAAAACTGAACATAGGCTCTGTTATGTTTAACGTCTAACTCTGATTTTTTATTTGCCCTACACAGGTGGTGGAGACTGTAACAGGAGTCGTTAGCGATCCAGATGCTCCTCCTGCTCCTGCCCCGCCTCCTCCTGTAGCCATCACGTCCTCCTCCACCCCCGCTCCACCTCCACCAGCGCCCTCCATCGCGCCTCCACATCCCCAACCTCCTCTTTTATCCTCCGTGGTGTCAACGCCAACGCTGGCCGCCGCCAACGCTGCTGCACTTCAGAACGGTGGCCACGGCAGCGGCGGGGCAAACGCCATCAATAAAACGCCGGCCAAGAACGTCCTTGACATGAAAAAGAGCGTCATGTCTTCCGCCGTGAGTGTTACGTACACATTATAAATGGGACCATATAAATATAAAGTCGTGCATTAGATTTAATTTGAAGTACAATTTGTATCATGAGAGTTTATTCAAAAACACGTTCAACTGCTGAATTCATACTTCATCCTGTACCTATCTTCGTGATCTGAAACATGTGTTGTGAATTAATAATCCCTATAACTAAGACTTGTGTTGTGAATGACTAATCCTCATAACTAAGACTTATGTTGTGAATCAATTATTTATATAACTAAGATTTGTGTTGTGAAGTAATAATCGCTATAACTAAGACTTGTGTTCTGAATTAATAATATATAACTAAGATTTGTGTTGTGAAGTAATAATCCCTATAACTAAGACTTGTGTTGTTAATTAATAATCTATTACTAAGATTTGTGTTGTGAAGTAATAATCGCTATAACTAAGACTTGTGTTGTGAATTAATAATCTATAACTAAGATTTGTGTTGTGAAGTAATAATCCCTATAACTAAGACTTGTGTTGTGAATTAATAATCTATAACTAAGATTTGTGTTGTGAAGTAATAATCCCTATAACTAAGACTCGTGTGTTGTGAATTAATAATTAACTAAGACTTGTGTTGTGTTGACAGATTCCTGCTGACGTGGAGGAGTTTGTATGCGACTGGATCCGTCGCAGCTACGAGGCTCATCCGGGCACGCTGCTGGAGCAAGCCGTTGTGTTCCGTCATTTCTCATCAGCCATGCACGCCCTTGGCAAGAAGCAAGGCTTTAATCCCGTCATGCTTTCTAGCTGCTTCAGGTGACCAATTCTTACAACGCTATTGTAAACAACATGGCTGCTGGAGGAAATTTTTTATGTGTGTTTTTAGTTGCTTTGCACCAATGCTGATGATCTTTTAATGGATGTGATAACTAGGCGAAAATATCCTGAATTCACTGTCAAAAAGATGTTCTCAATGCTGTTGTACTTAAATACATCATTTTAGGAAGACAGTTTTTAGTAAAGAAAATCAATCTATATTCATGCTATTAATTGCCATTTCAGGAAAGTGTACGGCTTTAAAGTCGGTCCCACACGACACAACCCTAAAGACGCGAGTGACAAATGGTATTACCACGACCTGAGGCGCAGAGATGTGCCTCTGCCCATAAGACCCGCCGACAGACTCGGCAAAAACAAACTTTTTTCATCGTCAGCTCCTCTGACGAATACCCCGGTGCTGTCCCGCCCCGACCCTCCCGCGTCGGTGGGGTCTTCTATACTCAAAGCCCAGCTCTCAGCCCCTCTTAGACCTATCAGCCCAGCCCCGCCTAGAACTGTTCAGCCTCAACAACCGGCGCTGGTGAGGGGTCTACGCTCTTATTATTGTTACTGCTATTGACCAAGAATCTGGAAGCAGAGAAAATGCCAAACAAATTGACTATTTCAATGCTTGGAGTTTTCTTTGTTTCAGAATTATATTGGTGAACTTGTGATTTAAGCAGAGAAATGATATTAGTACTGTTATTATTGAGAAATGTTATTGTCGTGGGTAATGATGTTGGAGTGACTGATTTAAATATTCTGTTGGTAATGACTATGGACATATGATTTATTTAGATATTTACCTGAGCAATGATAGTGTTGTAGTTGATAATATTGTTGTCAGTGACTTCAATATTGTGTGACGACAATAGCGTTGGTGCAAGCGCATTGGATGCAAGTGTAGGTATTGATAATATTGAAACATCTTGTTGTGTCCGATTTATGTTATGAATTCATTCACTTGTGGGATCACTCAATTGACATTCTCGTGTATCAATTGATACCTGGATGAGTATGAACGTTTGGAATTCTGGAGACATGAAATTTGAATAAAAATGATAGAATAATTTAAGAAAGTGTCCAGTTAACGTATTAAGCTGTTCGGAAAGCAGCACAATTAACAGTTTGAATGTGGATGAAAATTCGCCTACTTGTAGCTTGATATGAGCTGTGTAGTGGTGGCATTCTCATCAATGATGTTTGGTAATGATCACAAAGGGCGCGTCTCCGAGCTCTAGCGGCAGCGGCGCAGCGTCCCCAATCTCTTCTCCACCGCCTCCATACAGCCCCAGTCCTCGTCTTTCCCCACGCTCCACTCATTCCCCTTCCCCCTACACTCATCCTTCCCCTTGTGCCACTCCTCCCCCACCTCCACCACCCATGCCACGGCAGGAGAACTCTGCCCTCATTAAGAGCTTGTTGGCGAACAAGGTAACAGATCCTCCCGTCGTGGGGGGTCTGGCTGGCATGTTGGCTGCCCCTTTAACAACGTCCTCTAATCCTCTGCCTTCTTATTCTTCATCGTTATCTCCACAATCATCCTTTGCTTCACACTCGCCTTCTTTTTCACCTCACCAACATTCATCTGATCTGCCTTCCACTTCATGTTATCAAGCACCGCATACATCATACACACCAACAGACCAATCCACTTCTTATACGACATCGATGACATCGTTCGACTCAAGTCAAGGCAGCAATGATCTATTGCCGCCCCCTCCTCCATACCCGCACTACAAACAAAACCAGCGACTGCCTTTACCGTCCATGCAAATGCCTTCTATTCTCAAAACTTGCCCGGCTCCAATACCTCCGTCTTTAGTTGCTTCTTCCTCAGCGTCCGCGGCTCTCACACCAAATTTAGGACAAACTGCAGTTGCCGAGGTAAAACTTCTCACCAAAACCAATCTCACTATTTACATCCACCTGTCAAATCGTAAAAAAATATCTGGAACCTCCCACTGGATGGTTTCATCGTCGAAGAGAATGATATCATAGAATATGATTATTTTTATTTTTTAATATCTCGTGGTGAATTCGAACCCACGAGTTTTCGCGGTTCCAGTCATTTTTTTCCGATTCGCTGGTGTTGATGTCTACAGTGCGACATGCTTTTGCCAACAATTGAATAATGGGAATCTGTTAGCAGTTTCAATTTTTAAAAATATTTTTACGAATTCCGGGAATTGTGGTGATAATTTTTATATCCATAAAGCTTCGAGATTAAAAAATGAAAATGCATCATAAATATCTGCTCATGGTTAAAATATAAAACTTATGAAAATTTCTGGGTTTCTCGGTTGTTCATTTTCCTTTGGCATAAATCTTCTCTGCCACGGTGTATTTGATTTCTATTCATCCCATGTCAGCACCTTTGCATATATTACGGTACTGTCATGGCGCTAATACGAGTTAGACGGCACTCACTCCAGGTTCCACAGAATATCTTGAAGCTCAAACTTTCATCGTCTTCTGCACATCTTGACTATTTACATTAACACAATACAACCATTACCATAATGCCACCTAACACAACACGGCTCCTTACATGGTCCTACTCCTCCCTGTTATCTTCCTTTTACAGGACTGTCAACTGTGGTTGCGGCTTAATTTTTGTGCTAGATGTTAATATAAACTAATCGAGAGATAGATTTTTTTAAGGTGCCTGCGTGGAGCGTTCTCACGTTTTTATGTAGTCTAATTAATAACATAGTTGTAAGCATGAACTGGTTTACTGGTAAACAATTTTTAAGTTAAAATCATTAAAGTGAAGCTGTTGGGTCGTTCTAATAATTGTAGTCTGTATCTCACCGTATTGTTGATGAGCTGTTAACTATCTTTTGTTACGTTTGTGTTGCGGAGAACCGAACTAACTTAGACGACACAAGGATGTACTAACTTCTTTAACTTTTAAGCGTTGATAACACGTTTACTGGATCAGCAGCAGGTTGATGCTATGATGTTTTAATCCTATTTGCTAGAACTACTACTTCCATAAAATTGAAATTTGGGAAAGATTGCTCATGAACGTGGTTTTAGAGTTTACAATTTACAAATGCAAACGGTACCGTATCGCCTATCGAGACAGGTGGCAATTGGCATGAACTTTCTTTGTCTATGATTACGAACTTTCTCCATGCAGTCAAGTATATAATTAAATGGCATTTTGGCATATAATTCCACGCCAATATAATTGTGAAGTGGCTCTTCAAGTCTGAGATTTTAAAGTTAGTATCTTAGAAATGTAATTTTTAATAATATTGTGATGGTAGTAGAAACACAATGAAATAAATGATAACAAACCATTCTACTACTACTAAAAATAAATGATCATCAGGAGCCATTAATTAGTTGATGCTACAAACACCCACCCATTCAATTGACTATGTATTCCTAATTTCCTAGTGAATGATTGTATATTAACGAATTCTCATCTGTACACGATCTGTTGAAGCTTCATGTATCCGTTGTACAGGTGTCCCGAAATATGCAAAAACAACAACAGCAACAACAGCAGCTGGTGTGTGTTGAAGGAGACACCAACGGAACCCTCTGTAACGACAGCTCTTCTGTTGATACGTCTATCAACGGTGTCACTATCAACGGCGAGGTAAGGGAGCAATGTGCACGTAACGAAACATGTGCGGAAGTTTTTATCTTTTTATCTGATGTGTAGCAATTCATGTATTTACCCTTTCAATGCAAAACATTCACGATGATGAATTATGATTTAAACTTTTTTTTTCTTTTGTGCAAACAATTTCAAATCGTCCGAGAGTGTCGATATATAACGGCAACATAGCGAGTGGCGTGTTTCTTGAACAAGTTCATGAATGCCCCTTTGTTCCAGCCGGCAAAGATGGAAGAAGAACTGGTTGGAGCTGGTCGGGAAGAGCACGAAGTTACCAGCTTCGAAGGTATCCTGCAGAACGGGTTACGGGATACGGGAATGTCCGGCTCCACCAACAACACAACTGTAATCTCGGTAGCGACTGACACAGAAGCTTTGCTCAATAACATCTCCGTCACTAACAACAACAACAGCAATGATGGCATTGCCGACGGCAGTGGTAGCGTGAAGAAGAACGTCTTGGCTGATCTGTTGGAAAAAACCGTTGGAGGCGACATTCTCAATGGCGTTGTGGACAAGGAAATCAGGCTCTGTAATGGTCCTCTAAGCGCTGGTGTGAACAATGTGAACAATTCAGGCGGGCTAAAGAGGCCTGGGGCAGATGACTTTGATGACTGCGGAGGAGGCACCAAACGCTTGGCAATAGATCGCGGCGACGGCAAAATTACTCTCTACGTGAGCCAGAACGGCGATGGAAGCTGTGATGCTATCGGGGGTGTGGATGGCAGCGGTGCGGCTCCACAACAAGTCGTGTTCAGTGGACAAAGTGTTGCTAATATCATCGCTGTGTCCACCCCTATTGCCACGCAGAGACAGATGAACTCAACGCAAGGTCAACTAGTCTCTTCACAGGGACAATTATTGTCTTCTCAAGGACAGTTGGTTACGTCCCAGGGGCAGTTGGTTTCTTCTCAAGGCCAGCTAGTCACGACTCAGGGACAGCTAATAACTTCTCAAGGACAGATGATTGCTTCTGGCCCTCAACTTATAACTTCAACAGGGCAACTGATCTCATCTACGGGACAATTGATCACTTCTGGAGCCCAGCTGGTTACTTCAACTGGCCAGTTGATACCAGCAGCCGGTCAGCTGATGACCACCCAGAACGGTCAAAAGGTTGTAGTGCAAGGAGGATTCCCTCAAGTTATTGGTGGCCAGGTTGTATTGTCGCAAGGGGGCCACTTGGTGGTAGGTGGTAATACGAGCGGTGGTGGAGGAGAAACTGTTCTTCTCGGTGGCCAGGTGCTGCAACAGAACGCGTCTGGCAGCGGCACCCAAGTTATAGGAAACACTGGGCAGATGTTAGCCCAGGGGCCTCAGCAAGTTCTAACTAGTAACACAGGACACATCATTGCTCAGGGTCAAGGAGCTCTGCTTGCTCCTGCGGCAGGCACCGGACACGTCATAACTCAGGGACAGATCATTGCACAACCACAAATATTACAAAGTCAAGGACAGATAATTTCTCAAGGGTCAAACCAGATTTTGGGTGCCAGTGCCGGACAGATTATTACAACTCCATCTGGACAAATTGTAGGGCAAGTTACCCAGGCTGGTCAAATTTTGGGACAAATTAATCAGGCTGGTCAAATCGTTGGTCAAGTTAATCAAGCCGGGCAAATCGTTGGTCAAGTTAATCAAGCTGGACAAATCGTTGGTCAAGTTAATCAAGCTGGACAAATTGTTGGTCAAGTTAATCAAGCCGGGCAAATCGTTGGTCAAGTTAATCAAGCTGGACAAATCGTTGGTCAAGTAAACAGCGCGGGCCAGATCGTCACTCAAGGGAGTGCGGTCGTGAGTCAAGGAGGCACGTTACTAGTCCAGCAATCCGGTACCTCTGGAAAAACCTTAATTATTTTACCGCCTGGCCAGAAAGTTTTACAACAGCCTGGTCAGCAACAAATTGTTATGCAACCCCAGACTGTTGGTGGAGCGCCTATTTTGCAAGTTCAGCAAACGCCAGTTTCTGGTGGTCAAGTATTGCATCAGCAACAAACAGTTGCTGGTGGACAAGTGTTGCAAGTTGTTACTAACTCTAACGCGGTATCCGGGGGAGTCGTGAGAACAATTGCACCTTCTAGTGTCGGTGTTATCCCTGCCAGTAACTCCAGTTTACTTAATAGTAATGGGGGTAACCAGGGACTACCAGCACCTGTAGCGACGGCACAGTCATCGGGAATCAAACATCCCGTTTCCACGAGTGGGTCTATGACGTTCGTTTCGAACAGAGGACCCGTCAACTCTTCTTCTAATAACGCGTCTTCGTCCCAGCCTCCGGGACCGATGGTTCCTGCTCCGCAAATTTTAGCCTCGGGCATCGTGAGGCGCCCTGTCATGCTGCCTGCTCCTTCTCCTGGCGGTGTGGCAGCCAACGTTCCTATGGGCATCCATTCCAATCCCCCTAAGCCTGGTGGACTTCAGTACCTGTGTGAATGGAGAGGTTGCAATAGCATTTTTTCGACACCTCAACAAGTGTATCACCACGTTTGCAAGATACATTGTCCGCCTCATCTGGTCGAGATCCAGTGTCAGTGGGCGGGTTGCGAGCCTATGGTGCGCAAGCGTTTCAGTACCATGACACACCTCCACGACAGGCACTGTAATGAGCAGGTGCGTTTTTTGTTACTTAACTCATTCAGCATAAATGCTTCACAGTTTTTGGCAGCGAGTTCTTCTGATTTTTACTTTCTAAGTAAGGACTTACTGTTTTAATTACTGGACTAGTGACACGCTTCTGCCAGGGATTTTCATGCAAGTGCGATTTTTATAGTTATAGTATATAATTGGGATTGATCTCAAATCTAATCGTCATGTTTAAGGTACTCATTGACTGCCGCACTTCATCCAAATTTAACTGAGCGTATTGATAACAGTGAACATCTTGCTTATGTCAATTTATCTTTCAGTTACTGAACGTTTTAGCGGTACGGAGACAACAAATCGCCACGTCCGGTAAAACGGACCTCCCGATCCCCCACACGCCGCCTCCGCATCCTGGCTACGCGCCCAACGCTGCCTTCCACGCCATTAAGAGACACGCGCTCGAAGTTATCTCACAGAGAGATGCTGTGGTTAGTATTACTTATTGATGTTTAATGTTATTGCAGGGGAGTTGTTCAATAGGAAACTGTAGCAAAGTTATCTCACAGAGAGATGCTGTAGTTAGTCTTACTTATTGACGTTTATTGTTATTGCAGGGGAGTTGTTCAATAGGAAACTGTAACAAATTTATCTCACAGAGAGATGCTGTGGTTAGTCTTACATATTGACGTCCATTGTTATTGGAGAATAATCGTTCAATTGGAAACTGTGTGTTGGTATGATATGCCATTGTTTTTCAATGCATCATATTAAAGACATCATAGCTGACGAAGGTCTCATATTTTATAGATGCTTCTATTTGTGTTGTGAAGTTTTTTATTCGGATTTTCGATGAGGCTAATATTTGAACTCGCATAATTAAGTTCTCCTGAAATAACTCTGCATAACTCTGCGTGTTTTCACAGGAAAAAGAAGGACCCGTTACCAAAAGCATTCGCCTTACGTCTGCCTTGGTACTTAGAAACCTAGTCATTTATTCCAACTCCGGCCGAAAGTAAGTATTTGAGAAATTTTAATTTTGTAATAATTACCTAATGAAAATGCGATTGCCTGAAATTCTTCATAAATTTAACGACTTCTCAGTTACCCTTAGAAGTTAATTAAGTACCGTATATACACAATAATGTCGTATTCATAAATGATATCTTAAATATTAATTATAGTTTTTATCAATGGGTATATGTTATTATGATTTTAATTGATGTTGTACTAATTAGATGATTTTGTTGCAGGTTATTGCGAGGCTACGAGTCCGAGCTTAGCAACGTCGCCATTAGTACGCAGGAATCATCGCGAACTGTGGCTCAGATTCTGCACGATTTGCACATCAGCGACCAGTAGCAGCTGGTCTCACGCCTTTACTATCTTACTATAGCATCTTTGTATTGGTAAAATATTGGAATAATGCTCTGAATTATTACTTAAAAGCAAGCACGCCTTGATTGTCCTACAACTTTGTATTGATACTAAGATCTGTGAACCGCTTGCAATGTTCCAAGTGGGTGCAGGTAAAATTGAGTGAGTGTCGCAAACTTATTATTAGGTTCGAACTTGACCGTTGTCTAAATGTTTACTTTTTTAATGTTTTTTGTGACTGATATTGAAACTCGCGCATTCTCTGAGTCGTTCATTATAGCTATCCTATTTCTGTCGCTCGTTGAAGTAACTCGTAATTCTTATATTGACTGAAATGTGTATTACCAATTGGATCATATTTAGTTTCTGGTAATGGAAGCGCATCAAGTTGAAGTTCATCTTCTGTATATTCATTATCTAAAAATACTTCGCGATTTTTTATATACATGCATGTCATTATGGAAAAATGGCGCTTCTCTGTGAAAGATGCCCCCTTTTAGATTTGTTATCGGATTATACAATTAAGGATTCCATCTAATGCAAGTATGATTCTTAATTGCGAGGCAAATTTTGCTACTCTATAGCTTTTGTTTGAATTTAATTTTCAATCGTAGTCAACAGGTCCTTCTTTACACGCTGCAAATAATTTTGCTATTATATCAATTGGATTGGTGAAAATGTTATGAAGTTTTCTCGTGAGGTTGTGCGAACATGGAAGTGATAAATATGCGCATGACATTTCAACCTGAACTGCAATGAATACAGACATTTGTTCCGGCTCCTTTGTTAGTAAAAGTAGATATTTTATACCTTCATGTGTCACTTACTGTTTTATTTGCCTGAAGGCTTCATACGATTTTCTCCGCTGTCAGTAACTTGAAAGTTTTTTCCATGGATCATTACACGATATTCTTGCTTATTTTTAAATCACGTATTGTATTCTAACCGCCCAGAGATAACCGGTGCATTACAATTACAGGAACAAGCAATTTACTGTATCATTGGAATCACCTTCAACATATGTACGTAATTAGCAGAATAATTACCTAGACGGATATTGTTATCATTGAAGTTTTAGTAGATTTGCATGAAAAAACTCTGAACTATTCTCAATTTTCATTGCTATGTTTGACTTCGTTTTTTTATGATTATGGAGGCTGCATCGATACGCTGTTTTAATTATGTACGCATTGGGAAAACATTATGGCATCCGTGCTCTATCAGTTAGCCTACAGTTGAACCAAGACAGCCGATCATTTTCCTGATGAACTCATTGGGCTTTTATTATGAACTGATGGCATATTTTCGTCATTATGTTAGGTCTTCATTGCTCCCGTATTGTTCCTGTTAATGTATGATTAATGGAAGCTCTAAAAATCGTTGGACTTGCTGAAATTTACGCCTTTACCCCTAATCCTTTCCGTGCTACTTTTTTTTCTAATTAATAAAAGATTTTTCTCACATACAACTTAGTTTCTTATTGTCTTACGAGAAAAATGTAATGTGGACTAAAATTATAGCGTTACATGCTGGTTATGACGGCGCTCATGTACCTGACAACGATTGCTCGACTTATTTCCAACAGAATACTTCATTATCGTTCTGCTAATTTCGTTCATTACTATCACTCATCGTATTTGTTACTTGTTATTCCTAACGCTTATTGTCTCATATCAGTGTAGATGGTTTTCAAAATCTCATTTTTTTAGAATCTGATGAATTATTATGTTCTATGAATTTGTTAATTAGAGACTTTTTCCTATCTTCTGCAGCTTCATTCTCAGTAGAACCTCGGACCACCGTTGCTTGTTTGGAATTTATTCATTCAACCACTTTTCGTTCCTCACTGATAAGCGAGTCAAATCTCTGAACACAATTACCATAGTATATATTTTTTCATTCATATTGTAATTTAAATCTACACAAGGACCGTTTGGTTCTCAAAGAATCACCTTGCTATGGGAGTTGTTTTATCACCTGATAAATGAGCTACAATATTTGCTGGTAGCGAGACTAATGCATGGAATTTGTTGTGTCTCGTTAGTGTATTTAATTATCGTGATTATTTGGGGATACAACACATAAGTATTGGGTCCTATGGACAGAAGATGTTGAGGTAGCGGGAGGGGCTAGAGTATGAACGATTATTCTAGTAATCGCTCAAAGTATCCGTTTTTTCTAAATTATTTAATGAATTTTAGATGATTGACGGTTTATTATTTCCTATTTTTTTCTAAAGTGTTCTTTATTAGTTTTTATCTGTATGCGTGGATATTTAGAGATATTTTTCCTTATGTTCCTGTCGACTCCCAAATTATGCGGAGTCTATTCCAAATTATTGCTTTCAAAGTGCTCGTACCTTATTAATGATAATCAACTTCTCTATATTTTGAACTCCCGGATCACAAACTTCGTTTATTGGCATGGGGGTTTAAACTGCCTGAACTTTTTTCTCGCGTACGCGGTATTGACGCGTGGCTCATGAAACACGCATTTACTTCCTAGTGTTTCAAGATCTTTGAATAGTCATTTATTATTGTTTCTCGTCGTACAATTTATCTTTTAATGAAAAACAATCGAAGTATTGACGCTCCAATAACGGCAATGACTCCTGGCTTTTCGTATTTCACTTGTGTTTCTAGCTCTTTCATTGTGACTAAGCTTTTATGCTTCATTCTCGGAGGTATTTTATGATAGAATAACTTCAATGCTAGCGTGCAGTGAAAACATTACTTAGGCTACTTTCTTTATCTCGTTCACAACTCCTAATGAATTCCAACACTTGAAGCTTGACTTTAATTCCCATATTTTAACGATCGAGTGAAAAGTTGTGTCTTGTAATATTTCGTAATTTGAGGCACTTGGCACTAGGAAATAACTGCCTGCTTGTATCCCAGTACATTATAATTTAGCCAGTGCCTTTTGTTTCTCAGTGACCTCACTCGTGCTACACGATATTGCTTATAATGAACGTTGTGTACGTTAACTCGTAACGTCATGATGTACGTTCCTAAGAACGGTTCAATATGGTTATTTGATGTAATTTATTTGTTGCTTAGCTAAGGAAGGGAGGTTATTATAATTTCTCGTTATTATCTAAGATGTATATGTTTAAAATGGTGGCGGAAGCGATGATCTACAGAACTCTTGAATGCATTTTAATGTCTGTGGTTGGTGAATGTTTTCGTGTTTCTCTTCAGTTATTGAAGCCGTCGAAAATTTTGGGCCACGAGCGTCCCCTTCTAAGTTATATTTTGTATAGTTTTCTCATGACATTTTGCGCTGCAATAGAGTGTAATAATCCTTTAGTTTACCTATGATAATAATAATAATGAGAACAAACTAGAAGTGATGGAACCTCGTGCACGATATAGTGAAGATGATGCTTGAGGTGTGGAAAGCATGAACTGAAGTTGCATTCTATAATGTATTTTTATATAACATACGAACTTGTACATATCTTTGAAATATGCTTGTTTGAAAATTGTAATTGTGAAACCAAATGTATATATTATCTACAACTGTTTCCTTAATGATCCTTATATCGTTATCTATCGCCTATATGACCATTCTTTCGAAATCAATGCAGTGGAAGCCATTACCATTGAGAGGTTGTTACGTGGCCATAGTATCTGACTGCGTATAAGTTGTGCTTTTCAGATGTGCATGTAAAGAAGCACCAAAATAAGCACTTCCATCATTTTCACTTTGCTGTGTGCCTAAAAATGTTCCATTCTTTGCTAAAAACAAGCAAAAGCAAAATATTTATCACATACTAAATATTTTTCACTCGGGACCTCTAGGGAGGTGCAACGGCTGGGTGTTAGAACTGCGGAATATCAATCAATTACTTATGCGCCCCCATACACTAGCGTTACTGACTCACGAGTCTGGCTAGCTGATTCTGACCAACGAATCGGATTCGGCGATGTTTCACCATACGTACTTGCTCGCAACTCTCAGTCGTGAAGATGAGTCTGACGAGTTATGTTGCAGCTGCTGCCATCGTGGCCATACATACCGTCGTGTCGAATGAGCTCGGGACAGTGAAAAAGCAACAGAGGAAAATATCTATGTGGTCAAAAGAATGGCTAGTCAATCGACAAAGATTCAGTTGATATGAATTTACTAAATTTCATACGCAACGAAAATCAAAACGACTATCAAAACTAAGGATTATTTATTTTCTTTACAAAGTTAAGGTCTGCATTGGGAACTTTTTCTCGTGTAATTCGAATATATATTCCTTTGCTTTATCTACAGGGTCCGCCATATTTATGGAAACGCATGTTTTTTGTAATTTCCCAATGAAACGAACAAGTGCATTGTTTTTTTATTGGATGAGCTAGTAGCCAAGACTTATCTAAACAATTTTCAGACATATTTATTCAATATGACCACCCTTATTTTTAATGACGGCCTCCAATTTACGCGGGAAAGCTTCACAGGAGACACGCAGCATTTCTTGAGGGATCAAGTCCCATTCTCGTGTCAATTTAGACTTCAAACTATCCAAAGAATCATGAGGTGTTCTACAGGCCCTACTCTCTAAAATAGCCCACACAGAAAAGTCGAGCTGATTCAAATCAGGGCATCTTGAGGGCCATTCATTTTTGCTAATGAACAATGGGATGTGCCCCTAATCCAGTTTTGGAGCATGTTTGAGCCAGATGATGGGGGCAGAGTCTTGTTGAAAACTCCATGGTGAGCCGTTGAAGTGTTTACGGGCCCAAGGTAACAACACAGCTTCCAAAATGTCCGAAATGTATCGCTGACTGTTCAATTTCACTCCTGAGGGGACAAAAACGAGTGGGGACCTCCCAGCGGCGGTTACCGCGGCCCAAACCATCACGGACATGGGATTTTGACGTCGTGTTGCAGTTCTGGTTGCCACAGATCCATCCCGACTCCAAACTCTGTCTGTCATTTTGTCGGTTAACGCTTTGTTCAATTTCAAATTTTTTCTCGTCACTGAACACCAAGTTGGGCAGTGTGCCATCCTCAATGATTCCCAGAATGTGCTGGCATCTTTCGAGCCTCATTCGTTCATGGCGGTCTGTTAGTTTATGCCTTGTTTGCATCTTGTAAGGAAAGGTTTTGAGGTCATCTTTGAGGACTCTACGCATTGATGTCTGACTGACTCCTGCTTTTGCAGCCAATTTTGCAGCTGAGCGACGAGGGTTTCTCCTCAACTTCTCCCTCGTGTTTTTGACCAAATGTTTTGTGCGGACACTTCGTTTCCTTCCTTGACCAGGTCAATTGCATGTTTCACCAGTTTCCTTGAATATTTTTACCATCTTCCACATAATTTCACGACGAATTTGGAGCTTTTTTGCACTGACTGAATTACTCTCGCCCTTTTCATGAAGGGTTGCAATTGCATTTCTATGTACTGCCTTAAGTAATGGTAAATTTAGACACCTTAGACTTCTGCAATATAAAATAGATGTATTAATAGATGATATTAAGCTACATTATAAAAGAAAAGTCTCCTAGAAACAAATTTATTTTATATGGCAAACATCCGTTGCCATACATATGGCGTACCCTGTATTTGTTGTTTGAATATTCTGAGCTACAGATTTTCCACAAGCACGCCAAATTGCTGTACTCTTCAATAAACTTGGTTAGAAAGTCAGGGCTATGAATAGTTTGGAGTCGCCATGACTCCACAGCAAGCAGTGGAAGGCTGAAAGCCATGGCTCTTTCGGCGCCATATTTGGGGTTTGAGGTTAGCCGAGTAAGACTCGTGAGTTGGACTCAATGGTGTATGGGGCCAGTTTAGATAAACTTCAAGGTGATATATCGAAGCGATCATGAAAAAACTATTGTGAAGCGAAGCCCAATGGAAATTATAGCTTTGAAAATGTCTTGACCTTCGATCCTTTCGAAACGACCAGATGGTAGCTGCAGTCCTGGTCTGGCTGAGGCAGGAGATGATCGCCTCACCACGGGGGCTTGGCTCTTATTGGTCAAGTCCTTGCCATGTTTGCTCTGCCATGCTTAAGTAAAATACCTTTCCGGTGACCTGGTCCGGTTGGATGAACTTCAAAGTTTGCAGCAGCAGGAGTATCAAATGTAACATTGGAGTGCGTGAATAAATTGTGACACTGGCTCTAAAAAACAGCTCTCAAAACGCACTTCTGCACAAGCCAAAATCCTTATTTTCACAGTAACCTCAAAATGCTGAACAATTTAGCTATGACCCGAGCACCGTGTTTTTTTAGGCCAACATGATGGGCCTCAGAATTATAGCATTTAGTTCAGCTGATGCAGAGCAGAAACAAAGATTTAGATTTTCTCAGGCTTAGTGGGTAATATTCATTACACTTCCTCCCAAACAAGTATCCGACGCATCATGCAAGAGAATTTAATGAGTGTCACTGACGCGTTTACTGCTTGCGCCACAGTAGATGCGGTCTCACTATCCTGTTTGTTAAATGTCATGAAATGATGAAGCGTTAAAATCAGCATTTTAGAGCAGACAACATCGCGTGCAGGAGTGGAAGCATACATATGTACACAGTAGTAGATCCAAATCCAAAATAAGATTCAATAATCGAAATGCATCTAATTTCGAGTAACTCGACGGAAAATGTTCCTTTATCTTTATTATGAGTTATGAAATATGATAAATTTTTTTAACAACGCTCTGTAAGCTTCAATGAATAGAATAGAATAGAATAGAAGTGTCGGCGTTGAAGACATAGGCCCATGGCCTGTTGCCGATTCTTGAACTTTTCGTGACTTGATTCACAAGGGATCCGGCCTTTGGAACCTGATCTTTCCATAACTGACGATTGATTGAGATAGCTGCTGGACTTATTGCCTGCTCCGTAATTTGCAAGGCATTTTAAGATTGAACATATGCTCCTGCATAGCTTCGTCTAGTCTGTTTTTGAAGATGTTCATACTCGGAGCTTCAACGATGCTATCAGGGAGGCTGTTCCACATGTCGGTGACTCGAAGCGAGAAGAAATGTTGTCGCATGGATGTGTTCCAACGCTGTTTTTTATGAATTCAAATTCCATCCAAAAGGACCGATTACTCAAAAGATCGTCACGACAGGATGAACAAGCGTCATTGCACCCTATTGTGTTTGATCCATCTAAACGTTGGCTTGTTAGTTCTAAACGAACTTGAAAATCGAATTCCGATATTGGCTTCATCGCGTCGTCGCCTTGTAGCAATTAGGCCAAGAAAAGACGATCGATTGGCGTCAACCGCATGGAGGTTTTGAGAAAATTGTAACCATGGAAGAGCGGGCAGAGACATTCAAGAAAACCAAAAGTTAATTGGTACACCGTCACACCGTCAATTCGCGGAAAAGTCGATGACTTTTATTGGACAGTAGCCGCGATTGTCTTAAGACTTGAATCTATGATGCGTAGCTATATGAGGGCAGTTCAAAAAGTTAATGGAAAAACAACAGTTTGAAAAAAAAGATGAACGTCATAATTTTTTTTATACATTTGCTCATCTAGGTCAACACATTTCTGTGAACGCTGATACGAGCTTTTAAGTCTCTCTGTGTAAAATTTAGTCATGCGATTTGAAAATGTTTTGGCAGCTCATTTTGCTGCTTCAATTGATTGAAATTGGATACCTTTCAGTGATTTTTCCAGGTTTGGAAACAAAGGGAAGTCAGATGAGGCAAGTCAGTCCAATAAGGTGAATGACGAATGATTTTTCATCGAAATTCGCGTAGCACAGCCTCTGTCTGCCGAGCGTCATGTGCGAGTGCATTGTCGTTGTGGAAGGGTGCGCGCCGATGCTGCTTGCCAATGTGTTTTTCGGCGATTTTATTAGAAAATTTCATCAAAATCTCTTCATAATAAAAAAGTGAAATATATTTATTGTTTTCAAGAAGTCAACTAAAAAGATCCCCACTGCATCCCATATAACCTTCCCTCTTGAACGCACATATTTTTCTTTAATGGGTCCACTTCCACCCCTGAAGATATACTGCTCCGATTGAGTTTTGTCCTCGGAATCGATGATTCATCCCCGGTCACAATCAGCGAAAGAAAAAAAATTAGGGTTCTCAATCCACTTGTTCAAAATTCCCATGGAAAGCTTTGTCCTTGATTCCTCCTGTTCTGGGCGCAACAGCCTCGGAAGTCGGATCCTATCGAACGGAAAGCCTGCTCAGTAACAAACTGCCCAACAGAATTGTTTGTTAGCAACCCACGGAGATGTTGAGTGACTCTGCTACTGATTCGGTAAGCATTCGCCTATCTTTTTCTATGGGATCACGAACAGCATCAATGTTTTCGTCTCTAGTGACTAGAATTTTCTGATGTGCGTGGCCGGTCTCTGCAGGGGTCATCTACAGTTTAGTCTCATTTCTTTCGCTTCTGGGACGACTAATCCATTTGTAGGTTACTGATTTATTTGAAGAACTGTCACCATAAACTTGTTCCAGAGGGTCAATAATTTATCGATTCTTCCACCTAAGCCTCACCACGAATTTGATGTTTAAACTGGCCTCGATACAGGAGAGTTATGGTGCGTCGGCATC